AGCAGGGAGCCTGATGCGGGACTCCATCCAGGGACTCCAGGATCATGACCTGAGCCGAAGGCAGTCGCTTAACCAACTGAGCCACCCAGGCGCCCTCCATCTTATATTTCAGTGACTATCTGTTAAAGTATTGTAGCAGTAACCTGTTCCCTAACACCATTCTACAGGCTAGAAATGCTAGCCAGACCCACATACTTTGTGTGAATAAGACAAACTCTGACTTTGTTTTTGTAGTGATTATGGAAAAAAGGTAACTGGTAGGGTTGGTTCTATTATGTGCCCAGTAAAGGAACAGCTCTGGTTGGAGGGATTTTCCGCAGGTATTTGAAGGCTTAGGGTTTTCATCTGGGGTTCATTCTCTGCTGCTGAATAAGAAATGAGCTCTGGAAAGAGGCTTTCCTTCATTGATTATAGTTTCTCTTTCATGGAATCTCTTAAATATTAGAGGGGAGAAGTGTATATTGACACTGAAAGTCTTACTGCATTCATTACATTTACAGAGTTTATTTCCAGTTTTTCTTATTAGATAAATAATTTAAATGTTCTGATTAAAGGTTTGTCCTTGGTTTCACAGGGTTTTTTTCTTTCTCTACACAGCTTTTCAGATAAAAAAGAAAACTCTTGAATTGTTTCAGGTTTTTAACATGTGAGTCATGTTTACTGAAATGTATCCTTGTAGGAACTGTCAAGATGAGGACAAAGACAGTGTTTAGACTACAGTTTAAAATTGGTGGGTTTTGCTCTCTCCCCCACGGCAGCACTTTGTTGTGGTTGTCTCTGGTTCTCCTAGCGCTTCTCAATCTTTCAAGCTTATTCAGAGACTTTTCCTAGTATGGGGAGCGGAGGAATCTTGTGTATCTATTCATTTCCTTGAAGTGGGGAGAATGCTCAGAACTAGGAATCTGGATGAAGCAGTAACATCTCCAGTTTACGGAAAAGTTAAGCTATGTTTCAAGCATTGCGCTTTTTGAAAACATCTTCCTTTATTCCTTATAGCAGCCTCATGAGGTGGTAGGTGGGGATATCTCATTTAAACATGAGGAAATTAATGCTTAAGTTGGTTGAATAATTTACCAAAGTCACAGAGCCAGTAAGTGAGTGCTAAGATCAGAACCAAGATCTCAGGCTAGTCCCATATAATTGTATCCCCAAAGAAAGCCCCCATCTGACAGGTAGGGGTTTAGTCCCCTTTTTAAAAGTTTCTCAGTCCTTTCCAGCTGTGTGTGTCTGGAACTGGATCCTGGCATGGCACCATAAGTAGAACTGTGCTCGGTGCCCAGGCTAGGACTCACTCAGTACACAGATGATTGCTGGTGGGTACAGCTTCAAGAGAAAAGCATCTAATCTACGATAGGCACTAAATAAATAGGCTGAAGTATTAGAGTATGGGAAATAGGAATTCTCATTTAAGAAATAAAGAATAGCATTTGAGTAGGGGATAGCAACAGATGAGTAAAGAATGGATCTCTAAGGAGGTATATTAGGACCTTTTACAGTGTAACTCTCATGTTGAGAGCTATATTTGTAGCCATCGTTATATTATTTCATTCACTTGTGACTTTTAGGACGACTACAATTTTATTGAAAATTTAGCTATCTTTAGGGAGCATTATAAAATTAAAGCAGTCTTGTGGTGCCTGGGTGGCTCAGTCAGTTAAGCATCCGGCTCTTGATTTCAGCTCAGGTCATGATTCAGGGTCATAAGATCGTGGGGCTCTCTGCTCAACAGAGTCTGCTTGAGATTCTCTCTCCCTCTGCCCCTCCCCTGACTCACTTTCTCCGTCTCTCTCTCTCTCTCTCTCAAATAAATAAAATCTTAAAAAAAAAAAGTTAAAGCAGTTTTATTCAAATCTTTTATTCAGTCTCTTAGAACAGATTAGTAAGTTGTGACCATCTCTCCGTCATCTTGACTGCAAATGCATATCTAGCAATTGTATAAGCAATTTCAGTGTGGTATACATGCTCATCTTTGATTTGATCTTGAAGATTTCCATGTTTTAAATGGTTTTATACAGATAGATTTAGATATAGATATTTATGTTATGGTACTATCCAACTCGGAATCTGAACTGCTCTTTTATACTGTAAATTATAAAAAGTAATTCCATTTTCCTAACAGCTCTTAACATTAAAAGAATTAGAGCTCTCCATCTGTTATTTCTCTTAAAAATATCTTTTCTTTGCAAAGTGACTATCAGATATTTTTTAGGTTATTGTGCCAATAAGTTTTATTTAATGTTTTGCTTTTTAGTTTATTTGGTTGGTTAGTTGAATTGAGTTTTACTAACTTGAGTTTGCATTGCTGGGGTAAATGTAAACAAAAATTTTTATGTGTGTTCTTCAGATGTGTTGGCAAGCCAAGAACAACAGATGAATGAGATAGTTACAATTGATCAGCGTGAGTATTCATCCCGTAATATATGGCCCATTTGTCAATAAGAAATTTTCTTTTAAAATTCAGAACTGCAAGGTAATAAAATTAGTTTTTAAACTTTTTATGAAGTATTTTAGATATACCAAGAAATAAAGTATAGTAACTAACATCTGTGTACACCGTAAGAACTAAAACTTTATATATCAATTTTACCATGTTGTAGATCTCATTTTAAATGACTATCCTGAATTTGATGTTTATTATTCTATACATATTTTATATTTTTACCAATGAGGCAACCACACTTTATAGCATTGTTTTACCAGTGTTTAAACTTTTTGGGTAAAATGATATTAAACTGTACATATCCATTTATAACTTGCTTTTTGTGTAACAGTTATGAGACTTGTGATGATACTTACAGTGTGATTTCATTTTCACTGCTGTCTGTTATTTTTAAAACTCTGAATATCATGGAATGAGTATTTGTAAGAATGTGTGAGAGATTCTCTGGTTTATCACAGGGGTTCCCCCTTCCAGCCTGACTAGGGATTACCACAGCTTTTCACCAAGTGGTGGTAGGTGTTGATGTTCTCATCAGTAGTGCGAATGAGTTCTCATTTGACCGTATTTTCTCCCAACATTTGATAAACTACTTTTAATGAAGAAATATTCTTAAAGCCAATGTTTTTATAATTCCTTGTGTAATGTGTATACACACTAAGTCAATTGAAAATAAGACCAACTCTTATTCCCCAAGTTAAGATTCACAACCCATAATGCAAACATCATACCTTATCCTTGGAACTTCTTTGGTAATTTTGTTCAAAACTGCTGTGGATTAAGGCTTTTTTTAAATGAGGCCCTTTTGTTGAGCTAATTAGAGGGGCATCAGTAAAACTAATAGCATTTTATGTCTTTCAGTAATTTTTTTCACTGCTTGTATTAGAAGGAAAAAAACTCCCTCCATTTTTCTTCGCAGCTGTGCAAATTATTCCAGCATCAGTGCAGTCTGCTACACCAACTACCATTAAAGTTATAAATAGTAGTGCAAAGGCAGCTAAAGTACAAAGAGCTCCAAGGATTTCAGGAGAAGATAGAAGTTCACCTGGGAACAGAACAGGTATTTTTGCATTATCTTACGGTATTTATAAAATTTGTCAAATCATGTGTATTTTGTTTTATTTCACTGTATGAAAATATGAACATAGATTATTTCTCTGGCAATATTTAAACAGCATTTGTAAAAAAAAAAAAAAAATTTGTTTTTAACAAGGTTGAGGAATGACCCAGAGAAGAACCTATTTGTTGCCTTTTGCCTGCTATTAATCCATGGCACTGTGGTCAACGCTTGTCCTTCTTGTCAATTTAGGAAACAATGGTCAAATCCAACTGTGGCAGTTTTTGCTAGAACTTCTGACTGACAAGGATGCTCGAGACTGCATTTCTTGGGTCGGTGATGAAGGCGAGTTTAAGCTAAATCAGCCTGAACTAGTTGCACAAAAATGGGGACAACGTAAAAATAAGCCTACAATGAACTATGAGAAACTCAGTCGTGCATTAAGGTAAACATTTATCATTATTATTGTTTATTATTTTTTTTTTATTATCAAGCATTTCTAAAAAATGACTTCTTATTCTAGGTTTAACATTGTTATAAAACATTAAAAGACTTGTTCATAAGATGTTTATTTCATTAAACAAAGAGCTGAAAGTTTCACACTTATGTTAAAAGTGACTTTTTTTTAAAGATTTATTTATTTTATTTATTTATTTATTTATTTTTAAAGATTTTATTTATTTATTTGAGAGAGAGAAAATGAGAGAGAGCACATGAGAGGGGGGAGGGTCAGAGGGAGAAGCAGACTCCCTGCCGAGCAGGGAGCCCGATGCGGGACTCGATCCAGGGACTCCCGGATCATGACCTGAGCCGAAGGCAGTCGCTTAACCAACTGAGCCACCCAGGCGCCCAAGATTTATTTATTTTAGAGAGAGCGAGTTTGTGCGTGCTTGAGCATGCTGGGGTGGGGTGGGGGGGCAGAGGGAAAGGGAGAGAGAAACTTTAGCAGACTCTGCGCTCAGTGTGGAGCCGGGGAGGCGGGGAGGGGGCTTGATCCCCTGATCCTGAGATCACGACCCAAGCTGAAACCAAGTCAGACACTTAACCGACTGTGCCACCCAGGCACCCCAAAAATGACTTTTTACAAGATCTTTAGTAATAATTTTGAGGCACATATTTTTTTTTTAAGATGATTCCAAGATTATTTGCTTTTATCTGGTTGAAAAGCATATATTACTCTGTTTAAAACTTACATGTTTAATCTCTGAGTTTTTTGTCATTTACATAACAGATAAAGATGCTGTCATTTGCATAGGTGAATTGAGTGTAAATTTTAGCAAAGATGCAGATATTTTCTGTTTTTATAACTAGGTGCAAAATGTCGCCCCATTTCTCTGTTATTTCTTTCCCTTCAGCCTGCCTGTATCTGAATATCCAACCTTTACACAGATTGAAATGAAATAGAATAAAATTATTTGTAACATAAGTAGTATGAATTTTTTTGACATAATTACTCTCAGAAATTATGCTTACCCCAGTGATGGAAATTCAATATGTGCATTTAAGTAAAAAAGCAGGATATATGAATATATGGAACTAATGTCTTTTTGGAAGAGTGAACATAGTGTGAAATAGCTCTGTAATTTATCTCTATTTCTAAATAATATGCTTTTACTGCTACTTCATGTTTCATTTGGACATTGTGAATTTCACACTGAGAGATTATGATTCACCTCTCATCACTACACACACACACACTCTCCCTTATCCTAATGTAATTACATAATTATATGGAAATGGTGGTTATATCAGTATTCATTGTTAGGATCATGATCATGTAAGTTCTGTTACATATTTTAGCATGATTATTTTTCTTTTCCAAAATAACTGTTTTCTTCAGCACTCATAAGTAACTAAAATGCTTTCTTTTTTTTTTTTAATTTTATTTATTTATTTGAGAGAGGGCAAATGAGAGAGAGGGTATGAGTGGGAGGGGAGGTGGGGGTGGGGGCAAAGGGAGAGGGAGAAGCAGACTCCCTGCTGAGCAGGGGACACCCCCCACCCGCAGATGCGGGACTCGATCCCAGGAACCTGAGATCATGACCTGAGCTGAAGGCAGACACTTAAACTGACTGAGCCACCCAGGCGCCCCTAAAATGCTTTATTTTCAATGTGTTTATCACTTATTTAGTCTCACATACTTTGCCAACTATCTAAAGATCGTTTCCATATAATGAAAATTAAAGCTGTCATTTTTGGCAGTTGATATAATTGCATATATACAAGTCCCTTCAAAATTATAGATAAATTATTAGAATTAATCATTAAGATGCCAGTTCTCCTCAGATTGATACGTTTCAATGCAGAAAGTTTTTTTGTAGAACTTAACATGGTGATTGTAAAATTTATGTGGGAATATAAAGTGCCACAGTAGCTAGGATACCCAAAGATTAACAGAGTGGGAAGACTTGCTTGCCAAGAGCTTGAAACTTGCTGTAAAGCTACAACAGTAAGACAGTGTGTCGTTTGCTTAGGAGAGACAAATAGACCACAGATTACAATAGAAAGCCCAAGTAGAACCGAGGATATAAGAGTATTTGACTTAAAGATGGCGTGGGGAAAACACATGAGGAAAAGACCCACTTTCAATCGATGGAGCTCGGACAGTTGACTGTCCATATGGAAAAAAGTGAAACTCGACCCCTTCCTCATACCATACTAGAAATCAGTCCCATGTAGCTTGTAGCTCTAAATATGGAAAGTAAAATAGGAAAGCATCTAGAAATACCTCCATGGTGTCAGTAGGTGAGGAAAGGCATCAGACAGAATTGACAGCACTAATCCTGGTGGAGAAAATTAAGAAATTTAATTAAGAACTTTTTTGGTCAACAAAAGCCATTGTCGGGAGAGTGAAAGGCAAGCCACAAACCTGACATAAAAGTCATGTCTGAAGTAACTTAAGAACTCTTACAAATCAATAGAAGAAATAGAAAAAATAGTCAAGAGACATGAATAGACACTATGGACTGGAGATTATCCTCATGGCCAGTGACTGTTCCCTGCAGCGCACAGCCTCTTTCGTAATCAGGGAAAGTTGGTTGGAAACCACAATAAAATGGCACAATGTATATCTCAGGATGAGTAAAATTTAGATGCTTGCCAATGTACCAGGTGATGAGGATATAGAGGACCAGGAATGCCTCTACACTTTTGGTAGGAATGTAACCTGTAACCCAGCAGTTTCTCTCAATATCTACCAAACAGAATTGCATGCATATGCCCGCACACATGCTTATAGCAGCATTATTTATAATATCCAAAAACCAGAAACCAAATACCTATCACTGTCCAATAGGACAGTGAATAAATGAATTGTGGTAAACAAGAGTGGACCATGTGTCCATGGAAATGAACTGGGCTACAAGCACTGATATGGATGAACCTCACAAATGCAATGTTCAGCAAAGGAATCAGACCCAAGAGAGTATATATTGTATGAATGCATTTATAGTGTAAAGTTCAAGAAACAGGAAGAGTAAATTACAGCATTTAGGGATGCATGTTTGGGTGACAAGCAATGAATTACCATCATGGAACAGGATTGTTTTTGCCTTTTAGAGTGAAGCAGGGGTAGTGATTGGGAGGGACCTTGGAGGGATTCTAGGGAAATATATTTCACAATTTAAAAGGCTAAAAAAATACAAGTTTAAAAAGAAAAGGGCAAAATCATATCCATGAAAACATAGGTATCGTGTACCTTTCTACTTTCTTCGTTTTAGAGAGGGTACAAATGTGATGAATGCTATTATATGTGGTTGTATGACAGCATCTAGTAGATTGAAGGACATACTAAGGAAAATTAAAACAGTGTTTGTATTCTTTATCACCTCATACCAAGAGACATAAGATTATACCAATTCCATTTTTCTCCTTGAAATATAAAACCACTTTCTTCCCTTTTTGGTCTATTTGTTACAGCCTTATATATTATGTAGAAATTTTCGTAAGAAATTGAAATACCAATCTCATTTTAAACTGGATGACAGGCAATTGGTGATTTGTGGGCTAAGATCTAAATTATGTATAAACATAATTGGCACAAAAGGAAACACAAGAACTTTGTCCACTGTGTTGTATCTCTCACTGAGAAAGTGAACATAATTGACTGTTAGACTTTCACTGTTCAGAAATTAAGGAAAAGGGACTTAATTTCCTGCATGTAGATCCACCTTTTCATTAATGGACTTTTGATTAAGTTGAATGACTTAAATAATAAAATCCTGCCAAATGTGGTAGTTTACAGCATTTTGGTACTTGGGGAAATAGTCGTTCCTTTCATAACTGCTTATTGTCAAATTGGTACAAATGGGTAGTGCAGTTTTAAAATAAAGGCTTCAAGGAGGTGGGGAAAAATAATACAATAAAAAACAAAGCAAAATACAAGGTTTAACAGTCGTCCTGCCTATAAAAGTCTTGACTTGACTTTTTTCCTTTTATTGGAATTGGCAGCACGTAACAGTAAATAAACTGTTTTCCAAAGTAAATCTAAATCCAGCCCTGTTTCCATCTCCATACATAGCAGCAGTAAACCAGACTTCTAGAGGGACTTCTCCAGATTTGTCTATGTAGGTATAGAAACCTTGTTTCTTTATGATGTCCTCTTCCTTGGTTTTCTGTATCCTGTCTTTCTTCTAGCCCTTTACTTACACTTTTGAGGTTCCATATTAGATTTGGAGAATTTCACTGAAAGAAGAGCCTTTACATATTAAATGATGGCAAAGGCATGGCTACAACATAAGGGATTTTTGTACAATGCAGAAAAGAAGTGGACATTCCCACAGTCCATAGAATATGTGTATTACAAATTTCTCCTTTTATGTGGGTTCTTAATTATTAACATAGCTTATATTTTATAGACGGCTATGTGCCAGTCATTGTGTGCTTAAGTGAGCACTTTGCAAAGATAATCCTTTTAATTCCCAGCAATTCTCTGAGGGTAAGTAATGTTTTTATCCTCACTGTATAGACGAGGAATAAAGACTTAGAGAAAATGTGACTTTCGTGTGGACAAAATCACAAAGTTGAGACACTGGATTTTGAATCTTGACATTCTGACTCCAAGCCCTTGTTCTTAGGTTCTATTACTGCTCCCAAGGTTTTTTTTTTGTTTTAATAATGTTCATTTTTAAATCAATATTTTATCATAATTGTTGAAATATGGTTTGAAAATTTAGTATATAGAGTTGTAGAATACTGAACATTGAAATTTTAGTAAACAATGCTTTGAAGTTTCCTTGGATAGTAACATTAAATATTTCTATATAACTTCAATGTTAATTGCTATCAGGGAAATACAGTACTAGGCTCCTGCTTATGGAAGGATTTGTGAACTATTGTAAGAAATCCAAATTCTGTATTTTTTGTATAGTCCTAACATGTTTTTCTTTTTAAAGGTATTATTATGATGGGGACATGATTTGTAAAGTTCAAGGCAAGAGATTTGTGTACAAGTTTGTCTGTGACTTGAAGACACTTATTGGATACAGTGCAGCAGAGTTGAACCGTTTGGTCACAGAATGTGAACAGAAGAAACTTGCAAAGATGCAGCTCCATGGGATTGCCCAGCCGGTCACAGCAGTAGCCCTGGCCACTGCTTCCCTGCAGACGGAAAAGGAGAATTGAGCCCAGGATCTTCTGGGAGCCCGAGGTCTTTCTTAAATATTAGAGCAAGTATTGCTCTTCCTTTATTACTGAATTTGAATCTTCTTTTATTTCTAGACTGTACAATCTGACGCATGATTTTTTTATAAATATTTCATACTCTTGTGAATTTGGATCTTTTTACTTTGAGCATATATTTTAGAATACGTGTATGTTAAGGATCACCACAATGTCTTCAGCACGAAGTCAGGTTCATTGTGGGATAGTTTGTTAACAGTCAGGAAAGCTAAACTGGTCAGTATTAATGTCTAGCCCTACCAAAAATAGCCAGTAGCATCTGAGGATGAAAAATAAATGAAGTATCTCCAGGAAACAGTCTGGCTTAACTATTTTTGAAAATATAACTGTTTCCCTTCTCTGCTGCTTTAGATGTTGCTTTACATAGAACCAGAAAATGGAATTTTTCATAGCTAAAGCATGTGTGCCTGTTTCATCTAATCAAGCAGAGCTAAAATATTCATATCGAATAAAATTATAATATTAATAAATTACTAAACTGAGAGTATCAAGTTATTAAAATAATTTATATATTTGCAAGCAAGGACAATAAGAAGTCGACTGGCAGAAGAGCATTGCTGCAGAAGGAGATCCAGGTTGAAATCTGGCTTAACTCAAGCTAATTTTAAGGATTTTCTGTATAGATTATTCATAATGTCAGGCCAAGAATTTAAATTATTTTAAGAGAGGCATTTAATTCTAATAAACCAACTATTAAAAAAATTCTGAAATGATCTCTCTTTTTCCTGTCAGAGATTTAAAAAACTGAAAAAGTATATACCTCAGCCAGAAAATAAAAGTTTGGTTTAGTTTGGTTTGGTATGGCTTGCTTCCTTTCTTTTTTAAAATTGTCCTATATTGCCAGTGTATTGTGCAAAAGCATAATAGTCATTGTGTTTCTGATGAAATGAAGACTTTAAATCAGTAAACAGTACTTTACCTTTCAAGACAAGAGCAAATTACTTGCCAGTAGTTTTAAAAAGAAATTCTCCAGTATAGGCAGTCTTCTCTCAAAACAAAATTTCCCATTTACTTAATTTCTTCCTTTTGAATATTATATATGTGTGAGTATAAATATCTTTGTACATGTCCAGTTGACCACTATACACATATATATGAAGATATAATGGTAGTCAAAAGGAAAGATGTATTAAAACATAATAACTCATTTAAAAAATGTTTTAATTATATGATTCTCATATATGAAACTCTTATCACCAGCTAACACTAAACAGAAATGGCTAGAAATGTCTTTCTTTTTTGCTTGCTTGCTTTTTTTCTTTTTGTTTTTTTGTTTTAAGGTATTATACACGAATCATGAGATACTGGCAAAGAGCTTTTAATCCTCTTACGGCAGAAGGTTGATTCTCACACATTACTTTATGCACCTTCTTCCTCATCATTTCCTTTAAATCCATTCCCCTAAACAGCTTTATAAGAGCTCAGTTGATGCTTCTGACTAACCGGAGGAGAGGGCCATGGTTATAAGTCAAGGAGGCATTGCTAGCGGTCTCTGTACTGGTCCCAGATAGTGGTCTGGAATGAACCATAAGGCAGGGATCCTAGGACGAAGCAGGAGAGGAAGGCTCTCTGGTTTTCTTCTCTGGTAACCTCAAATCGTAACTTGAAGTGCTGGGCTGTAGGACTGCAATGTGTAATATCAGTTCATTTATATGCTTAAGTCATTTAAGACCCTGCAGTGGATGCCTAAAAAGAGTAAAACTTGTAACTTGTATTTTTACCTTTCTATAAACACATATGGAATAGACTGACAAACTATTAGTTTAATTTGGGCACTGACTACAAGAATATCTGAGTAGAATAACCATATGAAATAATATATAGAAGCTCTACGTTCAGAACAAATAGATCACCAAAAAAAAGGTTTTGCTGCACCGTCTTGCAGTCTGGGGAGTTGACAAGTCCTCATAGTTTTAAAAAATACAATAAAATAAACTCTTCTGGTATGTTAGCAAGAGCTTAAAATTTTTGACTTTAATATTTAAAATGCTTTTGGGAAGACATTATTTTAATGTTTTAGCAAAGGTGACAGACTTCATGTTGCAACTGTATGTATATGTATATATTTTAAGGCAAGGAACACCCACATTTCTTTTAGATCTCCGAAGTCAAACTGTTGCTGTTTCTCCTTTAAGCATTCCTTAGATTCCTTTTTCCAAGAACACATTCTCTCCATTTTTCTTCCTTTGGCAGTTTTTATTTTATTCCCCATTATAACTTGAACAAAGATCATTCTCATACAGGATCAGGTGCTATTTCTTTTTTCTTTTGCTTCTTCATCTGTCACCATCATTTTATGCATCAGAACATAGGTGAAGTCAAGAGACTGATTTCCCCAATTGATGCAGGAAGCTTCAGTTACTTTTTCTCAACTTAAATATTAAACTGTTTTCATTGTCCTTATTGAGGTTACAATCCTCAGAAAGCCAGGAATCTTTTCTTTTATTGGAAGAGAACTTGCGTTGTAAAAGAAAATATAATTCATGCTATTCATTCTTTGCTGTTTTTATGAATAAATTTTCCATAGGGGAATTTACAGTTTAAAGGAAGAAAGATAAAATGATTGGTCATCTTTTGTACTAAGTACAGAAATAAGGAAATGTCCATTTTTGTTTTAAAACTTTTTCCCCATGAGGTTCTCATTGAGCCAACTTTCATATGTGTTTAGCCTGAAGTTTGGAAATTTGTGTTGATATCGGAAAATCAGACATATTAAACAGATTTGCTATATGTGGTTGATCTTCATATGGATCGACTCATCACATCACATTAATTTTTGTATCAGTCCATGTCAGTTAATTAGGGAAATGGCTTAGTTGTTTTTCTCTCCCGATTAATGGTGAAACTCAAGTGTGATACTTCTTTAAAGGGTTGTGCCTCCAAATATTTTTGGTGAGGTTGGCTGTTTTCCATGTTCATCGTTTTATGCTACTGCCTTTTAAAAAGAACTAGTGTATCTTTGAAATAGCACAAAAGTGTTTTAAAATTCATAATTATAAAACAACCTGTGACTAACTTAATGTCTTCACATCTAGGAGGTGTAAAAATACTGATATTTCAGTGATACTTCACTTGCTGCCAGAAAAAAATATCCTCAGTCTTTTGTAAAAGGAAGGAGGATTTTTGCATACATTTTTACTCTTTAAATAAAGACACTTATACAGTCATAATAACAATTATGTATTGCTTTGTGGTTTTTATTTTTTTTGTAATTTTACATGGAACAGTTATTTTCTATTTTTACTCAGATAAAAAATATTTGTGCATAAAATGTAAAAATAGTAAAATGAGAAAAATAAAACTATTATACAGTATATTTCTGTGTTTTTGGAAGTTTTTTTCCTGCATAAAAAAATAGTCTCAAGTTCCTGGAGTATTAGGTTGGATGAAAATATGACAGTCTACATCTGCTGTATTGTACATGAGAGTCCCATATACTTAAAAACTATCAATTTGGGAAGAACAGATTCCACTGAACTAAAATTAGATGTTAGAGTTTAGTCTTTAAGAAAATAAATGAGGGCTCCTGGGTGGTTCAGTTGAGCATCCAACTTTTGATTTTGGCTCAGGTCATGATCTCCCAACAGTCTTGGGATCGAGCCCCTCGACGGGCTCTGCACTCAGCAGGGAGTCTGCTTGAGATTCTCTCCCCCTCTCCCCTGCTTGCACGTTCTCTCTCTCTCTCAAAATAAATAAACTTTTAAAAAAAGAAATGAAATCCCATCCACAGAGCCAAACTGTTTTAGAATAGAAACAGAAGAAATGGTAACACTGATTCCTTGTCAAAAGGCAAGCCAATGACTGTTAAAGTAGAAATTTTTAGTAAACCTTTTTTAACTAAAAAAAAAATTACCTGTTTATGTTTTCTGCATAACAGCAGGATGCTTCAGCCAGGACCAGAGTCTGTGGAATCAAAGGGGTCAGGGGAAAAGGTGCTATATGTTATTTATGGTCAAGCAATATCAAACGCTGATTGACATGTTTACAAAATTATAGTTTGAGTGAAACAAACTGCTTTAAAAACACAAAACCTAATTTTATCTAGTTTGAAGTAATGAAAATAATCAAAATTAGATATATTCGTATTCCCAAAACACTGATTTTTTTTGGTGTGTGTATGACTTTAAAGCTTAATTTGCAAGCTAAGCAGATGTTTAAAAGGCTTTTTACTACAAGTAAACTGATTTAAAACACTTAGACTGATTTTAAAACCCATGGTGAAGGACCACTTTTTTATTTCCAGTGTGTCACAGACTGAAACTCTTAGAAAACGTGATTTCCCGGTGGGGGAAATGGGGAGTTGTTTAATAGGTATAGAGTTTCAGTTTTGCAAGATTAAAAATTCCTGGGTATTGATTACACAACAATGTGAATATACTTTCCATTACTGAACTGTACACACTTAAACAAGGGTAAGATGGTAAATTTTATGTATATTTTACCACAATTTAAATGTTTTTAAAAAAATGAATCACTAGGAGAATTTAATAACTCAATGTAACTCACCAATTTATACAATATAGGGAGACAAAGCTGATTATCCCAATAGCTGTAGGAAAAGTATACAGTAAAATTTAACAACATTCATTCATGATAAAAATTGAGCAAACTAGAATTAGAAGGGAACTTCCTTAACGTGATAGAGTGTCTGAAAAACCTGCAGCTAACATCATACATAATAGTTTTCCTTCTAAAATTTGGGGAAAGACACATACCAGCTGTCACCATTTCTATTCAACACTATATTGAAGATCCTAGCCTGTGAAGTAAGAAAATTAGCATACATATTGTAAGAAGGAAAACTGCAGAAGACATCAAATATTGAAAATCCTAAATAATAGACTTTTTTTAAAAACTAGAATTGAGGGGCGCCTGGTTGGCTCAGTCGGTGAAGCGTCTGCCTTCGGCTCAGGTCATGATTCCAGGGTCCTGGGATTGAGTCCCGTGTGGGGCTCCATGCTCTTCAGGGAGTCTGCTTGAGAGTCTCTGTTCCTCTCCCTATGTCCCCCTACTCGCTCGCTCTCTCGGATAATTTTTTTTTTTTAAAGACACAGAACATACCCATTGAAGGACACAGTAAGGTTTACAGCAGCTTTATTCAAAATGGCCCCAAACTGAACAAATGTTCATCAACTTGTGACTGAATAAATAAATTGTGGAATACCCATACAATGGAAATACCATTCAGCAATAAAAAGAAACAAGCAACTGCTTCACCAACAACTCTAGAAAAGTTGTATCTGATCTGTAAGGACAGAAGGCAGATCAGTGGCCGCCTGGGGTTAGGGATGGGGGGTAATTTTCTGTATTGGAAACAATGAAATTTTGAGGGGTGATGAGTATATTCTACATTGTGCTTTGTTGATGATTACATAGGTAGACAAATTTGCCAAACATTTAAATGTACACTTAAAAAGGGGGAGGGGGGCATGAGAGTATGTAAATTATACCTCAACAGAAAACTGAGTAACTAGAAAAATAAAATGAAAAAGGTTAAAGTACATATCCATTTTTTAAAAATTATTAGGCTTCACAGACATGAGATTACTCTAATTGCTATAATTGTTTCGGTGTCTGTCCTTATCCACCTGTGGACAGATAGCAAAAAGTCACGTACTGACACTCATCGGCAGACCACACTGATACAAAGTGTTTTGTCATTAAATGATGAGCATCAGTTTTAACTAAACGATTATGGCAATGTCAGTGGTATATGAAAATTTCTCTGTAATCTGAGAAAAGCACGTTCTCATATCTGCTAACAAGGTAATTGATTTTGGGGTCTTCATGACACATCTAACACCCAATTAACACCCATGCTATTTTCATAAGTGATATGACAGTGACTAGATGGGAATGGAATAGAACACTTAAAGATAACTATTGATCATATCTATGAGCAACTGTTTAGTTCACTTGCTTAGAAATCTATGCAAAAGATTTGTTCTAATAGTCTCCATTCTAAAAGGAAAAGTAAAGTTTCCTACCTCTAATGTTGGTGTCACTTTATAGAAGTAAGGGTATGATCCACATTTCATTAGCACATTGGTCAACTTCACATCATGGCATAAATGAACCAGAATGTTCACTTGCGTTAGTGGTTTAAGAAAAAGGCTATGTATTAAGAATCCCATGGGAGGATTCTTGTCTTCAGGTCTCAGATTACAAAATGAAGAGGATATTTTATTTTCAAGAAAATT